GGAAGAAAAGAAAAAAGACAAAAAGAGTAAGAAAGGGATAGGGGCGCGGGTAGGAAGAGAGGCGTAGCGAATGGCGATTGATACCTTGTATTATACTGTCCCACTTTCTCAAACACTCGCCCTAACGGGCTTGTTGCACAGCTGAGGCAACCCTGAGTGAATATTCTCCCAGCATATTCATGGGAGCCGGTAAACGCTTGAGCGAATATGCCTAGCGTGTCGCTGCCATAGGGTGACACATGTGGTAGATCCAGAGGATTAAGTGGTATCAACATGGCACTTGGAGGTTGATAGCGGTTTGCGGGCTCTAGTCCTAGGCGAGGCTTATTGGCGTAGTCCTGGTCGTTGTGTCCGATGGAGCGACAGGATAGGTTTTTTTTTTTTTTTGTACATAATTTAGGATACCACAGCGCCATTGAGAATGTTATACAAGCATTGCCCCCATATCGAGGAGCCCGGCAGCAACTGTTCCGTAGACAAGAATGCTTTTTTTCTCCCTTTTTTACCACTTGCAAGGGAACGATCTGCTTTATCATTTCACCTATCAACAAGCTCAGAACTTCGAATTGAGTAACCTTTCCAATTGGGGACATGATTAATGTAAGGCTGCATTGGAAGAATCAAAACATCATTAAGAGGTAGACAAAAAGAGCGAAGGGGAAAGGAAGAGGGCTGAAAATGACGGGATGCAGTGACAACAAAAAGAGAGGACTGAGTGTGACTTGTCAAGATACAAGTTGCAAACTGAACTCCGAACCAAGCATGCTAGGCTGCATCCTGTGCGCGTCTAATAGCATCAAGTATCATGGCCTTTGTTCTTTCGTGGCTAGACTTTTCTTCACTGATGACCAGTATGCCGCAGGCCATGCCGACATGAGCTCCCCATCTGTCGGCATTCTTTCGCGACACCGAGCAACGACACTGTGAATAACACGGGCCAGCAGCTCCTCAGTCACGGGCACAACCCGTTCCATGTCGATCTCTTGGGGGTAGAGGAAGGGATCCTGCTCCGCGAGGAGCTGCTCGCAAGTAGGCCGGAACTGCTGGTCGCGGACTAGACACCGCTTCATGGCGTCGATAAGAGACGGAGGAACGGAGACACCGCCGGTCCCCTTCTCGCGAAAAGTGATCTTGTGGTCCCAGGCAATGATGGCTTGACAGCGAGCCAGCTGGTTGGGAATATGACCAAAGGGGGGAGTCCCGTAGACGAGCTGGTAAAGGATACAGCCGAGACTCCATACGTCACTGGGCTTGCCGATCTTCATGAGCTTTGCGCGGCCGTGAGAGCGGTCGGGGCGTCCGTTGTTGGCTGCAGTAGCCGCGTAATGCTGTGAATCCATCAGAGACTCGGGAGACATGTAGTTTGGGGTGCCGATCTGGTTCTCCCGGTGTACGTTGACCGTCTCATCCGTCTGGATAGCTCCGGCAATGCCAAAGTCTATTAGCTTCAGTCGCCCCTTGACCATGACAAAGTTTGCCGGCTTGAGATCCGAATGGACAATATCGCAACTGTGAACGGCTTGAAGACACTCGAGCATCTCCTTCCAACAGAACCTGACGAAGACTGGATCCAGGCGGGATTCCTCCTGGATACCATTCCTTGACTTAAGAAGGTCCCCGAGGTCAAGCTCTCCCATCTCCATGAGCTGTTAAGATGATAGGGTTAGACAAGAGCTCACAAGATAGGTTGGGAATAAATAAGAGGCAACGCCTCGTCATTGGCTAGTGAACTTACCACGCTCAGCATCTGCTTCTCCTGGTTCAGTTCCGAGTCGTACATCTGGATCACCCGGTCAACGCCCGAGAGCCGCCTCAGAAGCTCAATCTCGCCCAGGAACCCCTTGACAGCGCTCGTGTCCGCATTTTCCAGAGAAACGCGCTTCAGGGCAAACATCTTGCCGTTCTCAGCCGTGACCCGGTAAACTTTCGCGCTGCCTCCCCGACCGATGCAGTCGAGCCTCTGGTATGCCCGACCATTGACTTTGAGAAGAACACGTTGCCTCTTACTGGCCTGGGCTGTTGTCGCGGCCCCGGCCGTGGACGTGGCCGCGTCCAGCACGCTCATCTTGGGCGGAGGCGGTGGCGGGGCTGGGCGGAGGGGGGTATTTCGGCTTATCTGACCAAGAGCCTTGCGCTCTGCCGGAGACATTCCCAGGGAGTCTTGGATATCTTTTTGCGATTTGTCATGGATCGCATTCGGCACTACGATGCCTCTTGACCTGGCGAGAACTGCCGCGGCTGCGTTCTCTTGATCGGTAATCGAAGGAACTGAAAATGGCGGCGGGCCATCACCATGCCCCAACGCCGCCGGGCGCTTGACGTCCTTGTCACGACTGGAGTCCATCCCAGTCAGGGACGGATTTGGCCTCAACGCAGCCCTACCAAGATCCTTGACGCTAACAGGACTCCCTGACGCGACAGCGAGTTCTCGGTAACTGGTGGGGTAGAATGATGATGACGGCGGCGCAGCATCGGACTGCGATGGAGGTAGATCCTCAAGCTCCCGCCCAGATCCAAGGTTTCCCTCAAGACCTTCTCCGTCCTCTTCCGCGGGGCTATTATCCTCCTCGCTCTGCCTCCTTCTGCCCCGGCGGGCGGGACCACTGAGAAAGCTTCCAGGGACCTTTCCAATCCGTCGTATCCGCATGGAGCTCTGCGGGGCTGCGGTGTCGTCTACCTTTCTCCCATTGCTCGTGCCGTAACGTGAGGCGCTGCCCTGGGTCAAAGACGAGCGGGATCTGGCCCCCGTTCGTGGCTCTTCGGCATCTTCCCGATCGCTGTGTGTACCAGTGCCGAGAGGCTTCGAGGTCCCGGCGGAGCCAAAACTTGGGGCTCCCCGAGCGCCAGAAGACCCAGTGATGATGTGAACCCGGCGTGGGCCATTCGAGGGGGTGTTTACATTCGCGCCAAGGCTGGGGCCAACAAGAGGCTCCGAGTTGGAACTTGGTTCCGGTACGCCCGCGCCATCCCTCTCAACGCTCCTGTCCCTGCTCGCTGGCCTCTTGCGTTGAGTCGAAGTCGACCTGCGAAGACGCGTTTGTAGACTGGATCCACCAGGAGTCGTGTTGGTGGTGCTCAACCGGATCACCCGTTTTCGCGGTACGGAGCTATCCCCAGTCCCCCGGCTTGGCGATGATGTGAGTTGGGCACTGCCAGATCGAACGTGGCGCCGCGCATCACCCTCGTTGCCCCTCTCCTCTAATGAGGCTGACGTAGACCTGCTCAGCACAACTCTCTTCCGAGCCGCAGATGCGACAGGAGCAGAAGATTGCGGGACGGCAGCGGCCCGGGGGGCGGCTGAGGCACCGCCATCATCAAGTAGGGCCTTGGTGAGAGCGCTGAGCTTCATAGGCACAGGGATCTCGTCGTCGGAGCTGTCGTTCAAAGTGGCGAAGTGTTCAGGTTGAGGGCCCAGTGAGTTGGTGTTGCTTGTGGGAGCATTCGATTCGGCCCGGCTTAGTTGGGACCGTGATGGTGGCCTCCTCAGTGCCTGCCTAGCAGATGTCCTCCTGCCCATGGCGTACTGGCTGCTTGTGCCCATCGGCGTTGGAGATGCCGCGGTGGCCATTGAGATGCTAGCCGGCAGTGGCAGCCAAGATGACAGGGGAATTGTTGAAGACACCCCAGACGGAGAGAGGGCGCCAGTAATTGATGTCTTTCGCGGGTGGTTGGGAATAAATTCGACGGAGTTAAAGAAGACGCGTCAGATGTAAACCGACCCAAATGCGTCCAGGCAAGCCCTGCCAAAGTTGTCGATGGTATAACCTCGCGGGAACAAAACTCCTCGGTGTCGTGGATCGAAACACGGCGCGTCAGCGGCAAGCAGGACTGCGGATTGATATCGACGCCATAGGAGCGGCCCAAACTAGAAGGGCGTTGGGGTTGATTACAAGACGCACAGCCGAGGTTGGCGTATGGGCCCAATCAAGGGTTATGAACCAATGAAATCTGCTCCCCCGTTGCCGGGAGCAACCATCCGCGCTTGAGTTTATGGGACGCGAACCCTTGCACCTGCATTTACATCCGCATCGCGGCAAGATCGCATGTCATAGCTAATTGGACGCTGGTAGGCTCGCTTTCCTGACCCCCCCC